TATATATATATATATATATATATATATATATATATATATATATATATATATATATATATATATATATATATATATATATATATATATATATATATATATATATATATATAAGCACATTACATATGTGAAAACATGAGTAATTTTTTACCCCGACCGGGACTTGAACCTAGGACTTATAAATACTAAGTCAAGGCGCTACCAACTACACCACAGAAGGTTAAAAGGAATCAGACCTTATAGCTTATATCTGCTATATCTAGGAATGAACACATTAGTAATTATAAGTCCTAGGTTCAAGTCCCGGTCATGGTAAAAAATTATTCATATTTTCACATATGTAATGTGCTTATTTGGTTATTCTTGGTCCCGAATGAGATTGGAAGTTGAATTAAATGCGAAAATGAAGCCATGAGTGAGGGTGAGGAATCTGTACTATGAACATAGTGGCATTCAGATAGAATGCGTTCATTCCGAAGTATAGCAGATATAAGCTATAAGGTCTGATTCCTTTTAACCTTCTGTGGTGTAGTTGGTAGCGTGTTGCCTTAGTAATTATAATCCTAGATTCAAGTCCTGGTCGGGGTAAAAAACGATTCACATATGTTATGTGCTTATTTGGTTACTCTTGGTCCCGAATGAGATTGGGAGTTGAATTAAATTCGAAAATGAAAACACGAGTGAGGTTGGGGAATCTGTAATATGAACATAGTGGCATTCAAATAGAATGCGTTTATTCCTAAGTATAGCAGATATAAGCTATAAGGTCTGATTCCTGTTAACCTTCTGTGGTGTAGTTAGTAGCACCTTGACTTAGTAATTATAAGTTCTAGCTTCAAGTCCCGGTCAGGGTAAAAAAATTATTCATGTTTTCACATGTGTAATGTGCTTATTTGGTTATTCTTGGTTCCGAATGAGACTGGGAGTTGAATTAAATGCAAAAATGAAGCCATGAGTGAGGTTGGGGAATCTGTAATATGAACATAGTTGCATTCAGATAGAATGCATTCACTCCTAATTATAGCAGATATAAGCTATAAGGTCTGATTCCTTTTAATCTTCTGTGGTGTAGTTGGTAGCGCCTTGACTTAGTAATTATAAGTCCTAGGTTCAAGTCCCGGTTGGGGTAAAAAATTATTCATATATATATATATATATATATATATATATATATATATATATATATATATATATATATATATATATATATATATATATATATATATATATATATATGCCTCATTCCCCTTTGTAAGGAGGATGGCCGAGCCAAGAAATGCGCATTCACCAGGATCCACAAACAGCTCAACCACTTCTCTCCGCTCCTTGGCGATTATGGGTTGCCACGTCTCCCCCATTTCCACCCTGCTTCAGTCACCCACAAGGTTGGCGTGTAAGGATATTCTACAATGAGCCCCGACAGCTGCAGCTGGTTTACCCCCACCGCTTCATCATATAACAACTCCCCTCACACCTGTTCACTGAGCTAGGAGGTGCAAGAAATCTCTTTGGGCTGTGTCATATATATATATATATATATATATATATATATATATATATATATATATATATATATATATATATATATATATATATATATATATATATATATATATATATATATATATATATATATATATATATATATATATATATATATATATATATATGAATCATTTTTACTCCGGCCAGGACTTGAACATAGGGCATATAATTACTAAGCCAAGGCGCTACCAACTACACTACTGAAGGTCTTAAAAGGGAAACAGACCTTACAGCTTAGATCTGCTATACTAGGAATGAACGCATTCTATCTGAATGCTACTATGTTTATATTACAGTTTCCCAAAACCTCACTCGTGGTTCGTTTTTGCATTAAATTCCACTCCCAATCTCATTCGGGATCAATAATAATCAAATAATCATATTACCATATGTGAAAACATGAATCATTTTTACCCCGACCAGGACTTGAGCCTAGGACATAGTTACTAAGCCAAGGCTCTATCAACTACACCACAGAAGGTCTTAAAAGGGTAACAGACTTTACAGATTATATCTGCTATACTAGGAATGAACGCATTCTATCTGAATGCCACTATGTTCATATTAAAGTTTCCCCCAACCTCACTTGTGGTTTTGTTTTTGCATTTAATTCAACTCCCAATCTCATTCAGGACCAACAATAATCAAATAAGCACATTACCATATGTGAAAACATGAATCATTTTTACCCTCACCGGGATTTGAACCTAGGACATATAATTAGTAAGCCAATGTGCTACCAACTACACCAAAGAAGGTCTGAATTTAATGCGAAAACAAATTCATGAGTGAGGTTGGGGAAACTGTAATATGAACATAGTGGCATTCAGATAGAATGCGCTCATTCCTAGTATAGCAGATATAAGCGGTAAGGTCTGTTTCCCTTTTAAAACCTTCTGTGGTGCAGTTGATAGCGCCTTGGGTTAGCATTTACAAGTCCCAGGTTCAATTCCTGGTCGGGGTAAAAATGATTCATGTTTTCACATATTTTAATGTGCTTATTTAATTATTGTTGATTCCGAATGCGATTGGGAGTTGAATTAAATGCGAAAACGAAAGCACAAGTGAGGTTGGTGGAAACTGTAATATGAACATAGTGGTATTCAGATACAATGCTTTCATTCCTAGTATAGCAGATATAAGCTGTAAGGTCTGTTTCCCTTTTAAGAAATTCTGTGGTGTAGTTGGTAGCGCCTTGGCTTAGTAATTATAAGTCCCAGGTTCAAGTCCCTGTTGGAGTAAAAATAATTTATGATTTCACATATGGCAATGTGCTTGTTTGAATATTGTTGGTCCCGAATGAGATTGAGAGTTGAATTAAATGCGAAAACAAAACCACGAGTGAGGTTGGGGGAAACTCTAATATGAACATAATGGCATTCAAATGGAATGCGTTTCATTCCTAGTACAGTATAGCAGATATAAGCTGTAAGGTCTGTTTCCCTTTTAAGACCTTCTGTGGTGCAGATGGTAGCACCTAGGCTTAGTAATTATATGTCCTAGGTTCAAGTACTTTTTGGGATAAAAATAATTCATGATTTCACATATGGTCATGTGCTTATTTGATTATTGTTAGTCCCAAATGAGACTGGGAGTTGAATTAAATGCAAAAATGAAACCAAGAGTGAGGTTGGGGGAAACTGTAATATGAACATAGTGGCACTCAGACAGAATGCGATCATTCCTAGTTAAGCAGATATAAGCTGAAAGGTCTGTTTCCCTTTTAAGACCTTCTGTGACATAGTTGGTAGCAGCTTGGCTTAGCAATTATAAGTCCCATGTTCTATTCCCGGTCGGGTAAAAATTATTCCTGTTTTCACATACGGTAAAGTGCTTATTTGATTACTGTTGGTCCCAAATAAGACTGGGAGTTGAATTAAATGCACGACACCACGAGTGAGGTTGGGGGAAACTTTAATATGAACATAGCGGCATTCAGATTGAATGCATTCATTCCTATTATAGCAGATATAAGCTGTAAGGTCTGTTTCCCTTTTAAGACCTTCAGTGATGTAGTTGGTAGCGCCTTGGCATAGTAATTATAAGTCCCAGGTTCAAGTCCCGTTCGAGGTAAAAATGATTCATGTTTTCACATATTTTAATGTGCTTATTTGATTATTGTTGGTCCCGAATGAGATTGGGAGTTGAATGAAATGCAAAAACGAAACCACGAGTGAGGTTGGGGGAAACAATAAAATGTACATAGTGGCATCCAGATAGAATGCGTTCATTCTTAGTATAGCAAATATTGGCTGTGAGATCTGTTTCCCTTTTAAAACCTTCTGTGGTGTAGTTGGTAGCGCCTTGGCTTAGTAATTATAAGTCCCGGTTCAAGTCCTGGACGGGGTAAAAATTATTCATATATATACAGTGTTCCCCCCCATACCGCGGTAGTTCGGTTCCGGGACCTGGCGCGAACCAGGAAATCCGCGGAGTAGCATCAGCCTATATGTACATAGATATTTTAATATATTTTTACGCTTACACTGCATAAACTCACCCTGTACTGTTAAAAAAACACCCTTTACATTATAAATAACAGCAAGCACCACAATTTTTTATGAAAGTGATAGGAAAACTTAACGTGAATGAGGTGATGATGACTTGACATACATAGGTACAGTATTTTACAATAATTTTTACGTTTACGTAAAATAGCGGCCGACATCCACAAACTTCTTTCCTTCTTTCAACATATCTAAGAGTTTCACTTTATCTACAATGGTTAACATTTTCCTTGGCCGCTTAGGCTCACTACAAGAAGCCTTAGAAGATGAAGGATGCTTGGGAGGCATTGCAAAGGTTAAAATATGCGAGTAAAAAAATCACAAGCAAAACATATTAATAATAATAAGCACAACGTGAATGGCGCACACGAGTGAGGCGAGACACTGGAAGATGGTGGAAGCCTTTGTCCGAAACACTGATAGCGGTATCGTATTTTACATGTTGCAATACTGTTAGTATTTATGTTTTTTACTATTTTGTACTCTTTTATTATTCTTAGGCTAAGAAATACGTTTTTTTATCAAGAAAATCATGAAACTACTGGAAATATAAATATATATGCTAGCTCTCGTAGCTGCGACCCCAATACATTGTACGCTATCGAACACAAGCAAAACGTTTAATAAGCACAACGTGAACAGCGCACACGTGAGTTAGACTAAACGAGTCTTTGTCTGAAACGCTGATAGCGGTATCGTATTTTACATGTTGCAATACTGTTAGTATTTATGTTTTTTACTATTTTTTACTGTTTTATTATTCTTAGGCTAATAAATACGTTTTTTTATCAATAAAATCATGAAACTACTGAAAATATAAATATATATGCTAGCTCACGTAGCTGCGACCCCAATACATTGTACGCTATCGAACACTATTTCGCATGATGCAATAATGTGTGTTATACTGTACGTACGTATATCATTCAGTTATTAGTACAATGTATATTA